CTCCAACAGTGAACCAATCACAACTTTTTGATACTGTTTTTATTTGCCATATACTTTCTTGCTAGCATTTGCCTGCCAGTAGTTGAGGATTGCCAATTATATTGAATGGAGAACCCAGCTCAGCAAAAATTAAAAAAAAAAAAAAAGGAACCAGTAAAAAACCTGTCTGGAATCATCCAATTGTGAAACTGAGGTCTACTTTTTCCTCAACCCAACCTTTAATCCATTATATGGTTGTGTACCAGGAGGAAAACAAAGGTCATTGGCAGATAAGGAATTCACTTAGAGGTCAGGAAAATCTGCTGGACATGCCTTGTAAAAGAAAGTTTTCTTGCTTTCCAGTATGCTTTTGTTTAACACTAATAAATCCCCTCTTGTCTCAGTGATAAGTAGGCTGAGGTGGTTATTTTTATTTCTGGCAACCTTAAGAGTGATCATTCTACCATCCGTAAGGACAGAATAAATGTCTTTTGAATAGATATCTCCAGGACAAATCCCAACTGAGCTGGTTCTATTCAAAGTCTGCACAGTAACTTGAACTCAATTATATGCTTTCTTTAGCCAAAACAATATGCTGCACACTGCACCTTCCCACTAAGATTAAGAGGACAGAATAAATGTCTTTTGAATAGATATCTCCAGGACAAATCCCAACTGAGCTGGTTCTGTTCAAAGTCTGCACAGTAACTTGAACTCAATTATATGCTTTCTTTAGCCAAAACAATATGCTGCACACTGCACCTTCCCACTAAGATTAAGAGTATGACTAGTTGAATTTCAATTTCACAAGTCTGTTCTTTATTACGGAGTTGAAAATACAGATTGTAAGTTTGAGAAAACAGTATAATTTAAAAAGATAACTACTCTGTGTATGTTACATATGTCTTTATTGAAAACATAATGGTATGTAGGCAACTACAGGACTATAAACAAGTTGTGATTGCAAAGCCTGGTAAATCCATTGTTTAGAACTTACTACATATTACTCCATTAAAACATTCATAAATCACAACTAACATTTACTGAACATTTACTGCTTGTCCAGAGCTGTGATAAGTGCTTACATCATTATCTATCTTAGTCTGAACAGCTCTATGAGGGGGTGAACTCTTCTCTATTTCCCATTTTACTGATGATGAAATCGACACAGAGAGGTGAAGTAATCACTCCAGGGTCATATAGCTAGAAAGTGGCAGAGTAGAATCTGAACACGAGCAAGCAGACCATCTCTAAAGTGAGCCTTAGCCTGAGCCTTAACCATCATGGATTTCATCTCTCTGATGTGCAGGTCCAGAGGATACTCTATCCTAGAGTTGTAAATAGTAATTACTAGGTAATAACAGTAACGTTAGTTCTGGGACATAAATGTAAGAACACAGAACAGGATAGGGAAGAAAACTTTTTTTCCTGCTAAGTAAATCTAGGCATTGATTGAAAGAATTTATAAGGCATGATTTATCCATTCTATATTTCTGAATGTGAAACTAAAGCAGATTAACCATTGGACAAAGACCAATTAAAATTTTCCATTTTCTTTCTCCTTAAATTCTTTTGAGTATGATGTTGATAAAGGTATTCTTTCACGTATCTTTTTACTTCAGTGGCATTGAAACTCATTTTTTATAAGCTAAACACTAATTCCTGGTTATGTGAAAACTACTCTTATTTTTGAAAATTTGGATTTTTAAAAATAATTAAACAACCAATTAGAAGTATCAAACAAATATTTATTTAGTAATTTTCAGGCATTTTCTTCAGTTTTGCACTTTCTAAAATTCTACAATAGTTTAAAATTATGTACTCTTAGCTTCCAAACTTTTATATACACAAGCCAAATAACAATGTATTTTCTGATAAGCATTTATTTCTATAACAATCTCAGTTTTGCTCTTTGCTCAGTGCAGACAGATCTAGACTATTTCTTCTAACAATTATAGGAGTTTGTCTGACTATATAAAGCTAATAAAAAAGAAAGTGTATGTTTACACTTTAAAACAAAAAAGAAAACAGAACAATCTTTACTGAAAGTTCTTGGCTAAAGTTTAACATGTACCTAAGATTCTAAATAAAAGTGCGCTCTTCCCTTGGATGGCACATTTTCTTCTCTTTCATCATCTCATACTTTTCTCCCAGTGAGGATCCTTAACTTTTATGTAAACATGATTCCAAAAGTGCCAGAATTTCTCTGTTAACAAGGCAGTTGATTCCACTTATCACATCGAGCTAAATGTAGTTGGAACTGGTTTGCTAATAGTGGTGATAGGTTATAGTGAGTCACCCTTGCTCCAACCAGTGCCCCTGGTGACCAACGGCATGTACTTATGAGGTAATGGATCAGGATTCAGGCTCCAGGCTGTGGTTGAGAAGCTTTTCTGTAAGACAATGTTAACTGTTACTGGAATTCTACCCTAAAACTTGGCACCACCTCACAACTGAATGTTTCTCAGCATTTATAGACAATGACATACCCTCAAATTTGCTAAAAGAGATACAAAGGAGTGTTGAGGGTGCTTGAGATTCTCCTCCTGGAAGTCACCTATGGACTTCTGAAGGTAGTGATACCTAATGGAGTCTTGAAAAATGAGAAATTAGCCAGGCCAATATGATAGGGGAAGGAAGTTCCAAGGAGAGGAAAGAAAACATTTAAAGACACCAAAAGGTAATAGGAAAATGATACACTCAGGTAACTGCAAGTAATTTTTATGGTTGAACAAGATAGGTATATGTGGAAGAGTGGCAAGAAATGAAGACAGAAAATCTGCATCTTGATGATCAAAGCATTTATATGTCATGCTAAGATGTTAGAATACACGTGGAAAGGAATGGAGAGTCACAGGAAGATCTCAAGAAAAAATGAAGTATGAACAGATCCATTCAGGCTTTAGTGGATGGCTTGAAAGAGAACAGAAAAACCAATCAGGAGCTACTGTAATAATTCAGGTGAAAAATGATGAGGGCCTGAATTAAACAAATGGATATGGAGGCATGTGGTCAGATGTGAGACATACTAAAAATGAGAAAATCATGGTGACTGACACAGTAGGAGCAGATCAAGGATTATTTTCAAGTTGCTAGTGTGGGTAGGCGGTTGAAGCAAAAGATTATGAAATAAGTTTAGGCTGGGCAGGGGATAAAATGAAGCTAGTAGCAGGTAAAGGAACTGGATAACCAGCATATGTTCATGTTTTCAGGGTACTGGTTTTCCATTTATTACATTTTTCCCTAGAGAGAAATATCATCATTTTAAAGGTCATTTTAACTCTCTGTTATTATGGAAGGTTTACTGTGTATTTCCAGAAGCAAAAAAAGAGGTCACAGCTAATGTTAAATATATTTGTAACATATATTTCAATCAGTACCAAAGTGGATTGGACCTATATGTTCAATTCACATTAAAATATGTCACAATCCATCTGCTTTTAAAGTGTGTCAGAAACAATTTCCAGAACAAACGTCAAATATCCTGGAGATGCTTTAGTTCAAATTACCAAAGCATGCCATTGTACTTGAACTGTTTGCTACCTGCATGTACACCAAATGTAGGTACGTGTTGGAAATCCATTCTGGCAGACTTTAAAAAAAATTATTAAATTTCATATTTTGGAAGATAAAATATGAGGAAACACCTGTTTTATAGTCTTTCATCTCTGAAATGCACACCTTTTCTTGAAGGGCTGAGAGCCAAAAAACAAAATTCCAAAGTATACTATTAGTACAGTATGAATGCCTGGATAACACAGCTAAGTATGTTGGTATGGTGGGATTAACTAAATCCCCAAACTGTAAAGACTCTTTATAAGTATCTACATGCTTGCAAAATAAAATAGTTCTGAAGAATCCATGAAGATGTATTTTATCCAGGATGGACTATGTAGCCAGGTTTACTTGGATGGACTGAATTTTGTGCAAATTTCTGAGTCACATTTTTTTTTTAGCATTTCTCAAAAAATATTTTATAAGACTCACACAAACCAGTATTTAATTTCATAATAATCATTAACATGGACCAAGAGTAACTTTACCCTATTTATTTCTCAATCTGGCTTAACCTAGACCATGGTAGAATAAGTTTCCTATACACTAAGGTCTTAAATAAAAAGCTGGTAAGAAATAACTCTCTCCACCCCAACACACACACACACACACACACACAAACAAGAAAAAGGCAGTATAGGAAAAAAAAAAAGTCATCAAATTCCAGCTCCTTTGGATATCTAGATTCATCACTGATCCATTG